AAAAGAGCCTTACAGAAATAGATTATTCGTATTTCACTATGATTGAAAAACAGTATGTAAGAATGAAAAGAGCAATTTTTCTCTACACAGTTTAACATGAATTCAATCAGAATAAAGGAGCTTGAATGTAGTGTAAGGACCGTGAAAACTTTACAAGAGATATAAGGTGCCACTTTTTAACATTATAATATTTAAGAGAGAGTCCATTGTCCATCGAGTATTATTTTATATATCCATACACTCGTCAAAATTTTATTTTACAGCTTGACAGTTTCATTGTGTATAGTATCACTAGAAACTCTTAAATCCAAATCTTCAGCGCATTTGGTTAAATTAATGAAGAGTTAGCTTAATTGTACTGTGAAGGACTGAAAAAAACCTACTTCTGAATTTGATTCAAAGTTCTGCGGAAAAGTTTGAGGTTTATCTCGATAGAGAAACTTATTAAAATCCTTGGTGTGACAATTAAAAGATGCAGCATTAAAAGTTGAATAAAACTGCCTGTTTGCGTCTTTTTTTTCTATTAACTCAATTTTTTGCCCAGGCAGCACCATGCTGAAAAGAAGCTATTTTTCCAGTGCATAAAAGGTAAGTGTTTTTCAGTGTATCAGCTGTCGTTCCGTCAAAACACGAGACCCCAAGCTGAATTTTTGATATATTCTACATTTTCTTCTCCTCTACAAAATGGTATGCTCGGTGTGAGAATCGTGTTGCAACTTTTGTTTTTTAGTCGTTTTTAAGGATTTTTTAAAGAGATATCGAATATTTCTCAAGTCCCTATCATCAACAGATCAAGAAATGAATCTAATATTCGGAATCAACACAAAAGCCTTCATTAAAAACCATCAAAACTAGGTGCATAAAATGTTTGTAAAAACTGATCTAAAGAGAATCTCAATATGTAATACTTTGGTCTTCTTCCAATACTCGCATATTTTCCACATGAAAACGTAATTGATTGTTCATTTTTATTCATTTCAGATCTTCTTTTCATCGTTTACATTCAAACCATTAAGTTATATATGCGACTTCTATTTTTTAATTATTATGAACAAAACATAGATGAAGATTAATGTCTATATAATCGGTTAAACTTCAAACACAGATGAACACGACTTTTCAGAGGTGCCGTATTTATTATGAGACTATAGCAATAATCTAGTGTATTATGAAGTATTCTGTAAGTTTATAATCGAGTTATGAATACATTTCATTTTTCTTCGTTTCATTTCTCATTAATTTTCTCTCGGTGGTTATTTTAATTACAAAAATCTTGTCAAAAAGTTCCGCTTTGGTAATAAATAGGTATGCAACAATCCCGATTCTAGAGTAAGTGGGAATCGATCGGAATTGGTTCAGAATCGACCAGAAGTGGCTGGAATCGAGCCGAGATATATTCAAATATGTTACTACTTTTAACTAAAGCGTGAAAGTTGTTAACTATGGCATGTCGGTTCCGAATCAATTCCAGGCAATCCTAGTCAGTTTCATTCGATTTTGGAATCGGGATTGGTGCATGGCTACTTCTGACCAGCTAACTTTACCCAGCTGCGCGAAGCGACAACTATGAAACAAGTAATACAGATGATTTGAACGGCAAATGGCAAGAGATAATGAAGTACAGTAGACAGTCAATTGTATGGGTCCGAGATCATTCAAAATTTAATGGCGAGAGGTAGGTTTGAATTACTCGTCTAGTTCTGACTTTTTTCGGACAATCATAATCATCACTCAAACCAAGATAGGCTAATCAAGCCGAAACCACTTCTGGATTTGCGGAGAGCCAGATTTTCGTCTATATATGTTCCTGGTGCAGTTGTTAAAGTCGATGAAACTATGACACCATGGCGTGGAAGACTTTTTGTTCAAATAATATATACCTGGAAAAGCGCACAAATATGAAATAAAAATGTACAAGCTAGCCGCTATAAACGGATATACATGGAATTATTTGATCTATACTGGTGAACAAGATCCGATGGCAGGTGCTGGACATGTTGGGACAGTCGTGATGAACTTATTGGATGGGCTCCCATGATGTTATAGAACTGTAGTGGCTGACCACTTCTTTACCAGTATTTCCCTTGCAAAACGTTTGTTAGCACACGATACGTACCTTATTAGAACGCTGAGAAGTAATCGTGCCGCGTCAGGAAGAGAACTTCTTCAACAACAGTTGTGGTAGACACTGGAAAAGCAAATGTTCAAAATGAGTCAATTATGAAGCCACAAGTTGTGTTAGATTATAACAAAGGAAGACAAGGTACTGATTTATCTGATCAGCTATCAGCATATTATACATGTTTCAAACGATCTATAAAATGGTATCGAAAGGTGGGACTTGAATTGATTTTTGGAACGACTATAGTGAACAGTTATCTGGTATATAAGGAATAACATTCAGCAAACTATATGACGATTCTGAAGTTTCGTGAAAGTCTTGTGAGATCGTTAGTGCTCGGCATGTCATTCGAGCAACTGAAACTAAGTCCAAGAAAAAAATCAATAAGCCAAACGAAGGGCAAACTTGTTGACTATATACTCGAAGAAAAAGAAGGATCTGCTCGCGATGTTCGAAGACGCTGTGGTAGTTCCTACGAGAGAATCAGTCAACAACAATCGAGAGAAGTCGGTCATGCAGCTGCAAAGAAAGTAAAAACTTGCTGTCCTGATTGTTTCAATCAGAAGCATCTTACTTTCTAATAAACGGCTAAATAATATCAAGGATAGAGTTAATGACATTTAGTGTGTAACATCTGACTAAGAAAACAGATAGAAAAAAGTTTTTCTCTATCGAGTTTTTTATTTTAAAAAAATGTGAGACCAACTGGTGGGTCCCATCGTGTCGAATGTGTTAAAACATTTTCTTTGTAATCATTCCTCATTGATAATATTTTTAAATATACATTCAGAAAAAAAACGTCAACGGAAAAGCAAATGGATGGAAAAAGAGCAGATGTTCTATATTTTCATTTGAAACTCTTCGATAAAAAATGAAGTTGATACAGATCTTCATGTTTATCTCAATATATTTCAAATGTTATTCTCTTTATACATTTTATCATCGAAATAACGATCAAACATTCCATTGTTTATATGCTCATATAGAATATTCTCATCAAGTCGATAGCGGAACTTATTTAACACTTTCACACCTCATTCCTTTTTGTCAACAATTCAATGAAAACGACAAACCAAATGAAAATGTGGAAAATGACATAAGTTTTGAAGATTTATCGAGAAATGGAATATCAAGTTCGCAATTATTGAAATGGTTTGTTCCAATTGATATTGCAGAAGAATATGAGATCAATAGTAAACATTCGAATGAATTCTTTTATAATTGTTCATTTCCTTGGTTTGGTTCAACATGTCAGTTTCAATTAATTAAAGATCAACAGGTCACATTTGGTGAACTTGTTCGCTTTATTTTTCTCGAACGTGATTCTCCATCATCTGATCTTGATTTTCCTATCGATACATGTTATCTCTTCTTGAAGAATTGTATTCGTGGACCATCACCAGTGTGTCTCGACTGGCGTGAAATTTGTAATGGTGTTGATGATTGTATTGATGGAGAAGATGAAGAATTTTGTGATTTATTAGAAGAAAATCGATGTTCAAATGAAGAATTTCAATGTTTGAGAAGTAAAGAATGTATTTCACGAAAATTTTTCAATGACCACACAGAAAGTCTTGATTGTCTTGATACGAGTGATGAAAAAGAAAAATTCGAAACAGAATTTGGAGAAGATTGTATCAAATTTCCAACATTTGAGTGCGAAGAAATAGGTCGTGGTGTTCGGGATTATTTTTCATGTGGTAATGGGCAAATAAAATTAAATCTAATGCCTCGTTTTCACGCTTTTTGTGTAAATCTACGAGATCAACGTATGACAAAAACTCTTTTTACTTCATTTCATTACATTTCCAATATTCCATGTCGAAAACGTCTCATGTGTTACATTCGTCCTGATCGAATTCATTTTCTTTCACATTTACTAGATGAAATTCATTGTGAACTTCCTCTTGAACATTGTCCATTGGAATGGGTCGTCTTTCCCGAATATCCTATACTTTACTCAACGTTTCAATTTGTTTATTTTACAAATCGATCGATATCTTTATCAACATATGACATTACACCAGATTTGATTTGTTTTAACGCAATTCGATGTCCAGAGTATGTCTTTTGTTCGATAGATATCGAAATACAACATGATCTCCATTGTTGTCGTGCTTTTGATATATTATATCATTCAATTGATACCTGGGATGCATTCCAGCTTATGTTTGAACTTATTTTTCAAAATTGCTTCAAAACTGTTCAAAATGATACATCATTATCGATTGATGAAAACGCAAATTCTTCTGTAAATCTCTGGCTGAATTCACATAAAACATTTTCATTTGCATATTTTTGCGATGGTCAATGGCACATACGAGATAATGACGAATCGATGGAAACTGATGAAACTAATTGTGATTTATGGCCATGTAATAATCCATATACTCGATGCAATCAATATTTACATTGTTGGAATGCAATTGATGAAGTCAATTGTCCTAAAGATCGATGTGAATCTGATGAAATTTATTGTAAGGATGAGACTTTTCAGATTCGTTATTGTTTACCTAGATCATTTCTAGCAGATGATCATACAAAATTTACTTCCGATCGATATTCACGAGTTGTACATTTAATCAATGAAACAATTGGTGATGTGAAAAATTATTTCTTTTGGAATCAAATCAAATGTCTCACTGTGGAATATTCGAATCAGAATGATTTGACACGATTAGTTGCAAATAACAACGATACTTGTTTAATGCCAAAACATCCGAAATTTGTTTTTCCTAAAACCATGATTGTTATGAGAAACAAAACAGAACTTTGTAGAGCTGGTTCAACTGTTACGAGTAATTATATTGAAGATCGACCATATCTTCAATCAACACATTTGGGTTATTTTCCATCGATTGTTCATCCGATTTCTCATCAATCAACAATAGTTCAATCAGATGAAGCATCTCCTATTGATCTTGATACAGATGAAGTTGTTAGTTGGCATTGTAATCGAGGATTTGCCATTTTTTATCAAAATAATCAAACGATCGAATGTCTTTGTCCACCAAGTTATTTTGGTTCACGATGTCAATGGCAAAATCAACGTATTAGTTTATCATTTCAATTGAAATATTTCACTTTCATATATGAAATGCCTATTTTCCAAGTCATTCTTATGCTTATTGATGATCAAAGACAAATTTCCCCGTATAATGAACAAATAATTCATGTTCCGAAACGTGATTGTGGAATTAAATATCATTTTTATTTACTTTATCCATCAAGACCAAAGAATTCTTCGCTGAATTATTCAGTTCAGATTGATATTTTCAATCGAATTACATTGACACATTGGGCAAGTTGGCTTTTTCCTATTACATTTGCATTTTTGCCTGTCAATCGTATTTCCGTTGAATTACTCATTCCCTTAAATCCTCAGCAAACCGAATTGTCNCCGAAACGTGATTGTGGAATTAAATATCATTTTTATTTACTTTATCCATCAAGACCAAAGAATTCTTCGCTGAATTATTCAGTTCAGATTGATATTTTCAATCGAATTACATTGACACATTGGGCAAGTTGGCTTTTTTCTATAACATTTGCATTTCTGCCTGTCAATCGAATTTCCGTTCAATTACTCATTCCCTTAAATCCTCAACAAACTGAATTGTCATGTTCATTATCATGTGGAAATCATGGAAGATGCCTCAGATATGTCAACAGAAATTCCTCATACTTTTGTCAATGTGATTCAGGTTATTCGGGACTGAATTGTCAAATTAAACACAATTGCTCTTGTTCGTCCGATTCCTTTTGTCTTAGTTCATTCATTTGTATTTGTCCATTGTATCAATTTGGTTCAAAATGCTATTTGACACATCGGACATGTCAATTTTCGATGAATCCTTGCGAAAATGAGGGTCAATGTGTCCCAAATGACGATCGTGTTGCTTTGGATACGTTTACTTGTGTCTGTAAAGAAGAATTTTTCGGTGAACGATGTGAAAATCGTCAAACTCGAATTGATATTCAATTTACTGACGAAATCAATTTACCGATTTTAGTTCATTTAATCACAACTTACGAAAGCTCAACTCATTTACAAACTACAATTTTAAAACAAATCAAATATGGACAAAATCAAGTGACAATTCTCACATCAAATACATTTCATCTTGGATTTGTAGAATTTCTTCCAGGAGATTATTATTTAATCATTAAACGTGAACATTTTATCAAATCTGAACATATTCAAACAAAATTATTACCCAACTATCGATGTGTGTTTATCAATGAATTGTTAAATGAAACATTGAAATCTTTTCATTATCTTCATCGTGTCAAATTCTATCCAGTTTTATGTCGAGAAAATCAACAATTAATGTGTTTTTATGATGAAATTTATACGTGTATTTGTGATGAAAATCGCTTTTCAAATTGTTTTTTATTTGATCGAAATACGACTTATAATTGTGATCAAAGAGAAAATCCTTGTGAAAATAATGAAAAATGTTTTTTAGCAAATCAAACGTGTTCAAGTTCAATAAAATGTTTATGTTCAGGTTGTTTTTACGGAACAAAATGTCAGTTCACAACTGAAGGTTTTGTTTTATCTCTCGATTATATTCTCAGTTATCATATTAAACCAAATCTTTCATTTTCTCGTCAACCATTTATTGTCAAAGTGAGTGTCGGAATCGGTACAATGATGTTTCTCATTGGATTTATCGGTGGTTTCTTATCAGTTGTAACATTTCGTGTGAAGAAAATTCAAATAAATGGTTGTGGATTTTATTTATTTGTATCCGGATGGATTTCACTTGTAATTGTATGTGTATTAATGATCAAATTCGTGCAATTGATATTATTACAAACGAAAGTTTACAATAATTTATCGATTTTTCGTTTGAATTGTATTGTATTGGATGTGTTCATTAAAATTCTATTAGCGATTAACGATTGGTTGGATGCGTGTGTTTCAATTGAACGTATTATCACGGTTAAACAAGGTTTGACATTTAATAAAATCCAAAGCAAACAAATGGCAAAATGGATCACTTTTATTGTTTGTCTCCTTTCGATTCTTAGTCATCTTCATGATCCTCTTCATCGTCAATTGATCAAAGATATGGATATTGATGAAGAACGAATATGGTGTATCGTTCAATATTCATCATCATTCAATACTTATAATTCATTTGTAACTCTATTTCATTTTTTCGTTCCATTTACAATTAATTTTTTCTCAACAGTAATCATTATAATTACAATAGCTCGAAATCGTTCAACTGTTCAACAAAGATTAACATATGTGGAACATTTAAAATTACAATTCAATGAGCATAAACATCACTTTATTGCATCATTTACTTTNTGGTGTATTGTTCAATATTCATCGTCATTCAATACTTATAATTCATTTGTAACTCTATTTCATTTTTTCGTTCCATTTACAATTAATTTTTTCTCAACAGTAATCATTATAATTACAATAGCTCGAAATCGTTCAACTGTTCAACAAAGATTAACATATGTGGAACATTTAAAATTACAATTCAATGAGCATAAACATCACTTTATTGCATCATTTACTTTCGTATTATTGGGATTACCTCGTCTTATCATCTCATTTATAAGTGGATGTATGAAATCACCAAAGAATTCATGGTTATTTCTAACTGGATATTTTCTTTCATTTTTACCATCGATGATGACTTTTGTCGTTTATGTTTTACCATCAAAAACTTACAAAGATGAATTTGATAATCTTCTTCGAAAACAATTTCGACGCTTTCGTAATTAAACTCCACGAAAATGTGAAGTCAGAAAACATTACGGAAGAGAGTCGTTATCCCTTGAAAATATTTTCTCTTTGTTCAGCTTTAACCAACTAAAGGGAATATGAAAACTGCGAGAGAAACATGGTTAGGTTTTTATTCTTTCAGGTGTATATAGTAACATAATAAATAACGGATACGTTGACTCATAGATTTGAATGTTAATCTTACTAGTTCTCTATATACAAAACAATTGCAAAACGGGGTATGTGTAGAGATGTGTCAATTCAAAATTCTTTTGAATAAATTTTTATTTCGAAGCTAAATTAAGTATGGACAAACGACTTTTAAGGACATACAGTCTTTCCTCGATGATCGTAAGTATAGTTTTTAGTATTTATGTTGTTTTTATGAAATCTTGGTCATCCACCGATTGGTAATAGAAATAATCTAAATCTAACCGCGATTATGTACATTGTCTATGTTTATATAATTAAATAATTAATTTGATGTACTCAGATTTAAAAATAATTGCTTTTTGTTCAATAAGGTTCTCTAATATATACATTTAGAAGTATTTATATAATTCATCAGATAGTATCGATAGAAGATACGTTTTAATTTTAGTCCCTAAACATATCTTTTTTTCGTAATAAGCAAGAACAACAACCAATCAAATCTCTATAATTGATCTGATGGCTATTTTCGAGGTTATATGTTTACACGTCTCATTTTGTTCCTACATCATTCAGTGTCTGTCTTGATATATTTTTTTCTCTATAATTCGATGTTCTTACCCACGTCTTTCTATACATCCTATCTTTCCTCTTCGATATTAAATACAAAGAAACATTCGTTTAACTAGCAAATTTACAAACGATTAAAATATGATGAGATGAGATTATCATTTGCCTTCATCAGTCCCTGTCTTTCTACTATAACATGGTACGCATGAATAATTTTATGTATTGTAGACATTGAGATTAAAAAGAAAAAGACTTATCACCTCACCCTTCTATAGAAGAAGAAGTACATCATTAGTAATTATTTTATCTGTCGTTTGTCTTGGACTTATTTTATTCGCAATTGCAATAGTTATTGTACTAGCCTTGATTTCATTATATTTGTCACAATGAGAATCATCAAGTCAGCCTATAGTTATCGTCTATGTGACAAAAAATATGCTTTTCCTTGAAAAATCCTATTTCAGTCAGCTACTGCTCTTGATGGTGCCGTTTATACTTGCAATATTCATGAGTCTTCAGATGTTACCTGTCGTACTTCCAATGGCGATGTTTTGACTTTAACGGGTTTGTTTTATGCTGCTAATAATAGTGTTTGCATGGCTCCTTATAGTTGTTATCGTTGTTGTTGTTGTCAGTCAAGTTCTGGATGATGATGATGATTATTACATTTGTAATTTTATATAGACTTTTTCCTTACTCTCTTTCGATTTTCATAAGTTTTATTTTGTAATTACTATGAACATATCCGAAAGACTAATATTTTAATGCTGATTTAAAGAAAAGAAGGAAGATGGAGAACTCAATTAAAGTTCTTTTGGGAGGATGCATTGTAAGAACGGAAAAGTTTTTTTCTATTATATAAAAATGACTTTTATAGAGTTTGGATGTATGGATATTTATTCACAATGTGATTTAACTAGAAATTTGCCATGATTTTACAGTATTTATTCATATCGTTGAAAAATTATGAAAAGTCAATCGTATAGGAGAAAAGCAATAGAATAATAATTTATAACAAATGATAATTCTTTATTAGAACGTTAAATCAAGTTAATTTTTCAATGAATTTTCTAATCATTAATATCCTTTTTCAAGACCGTAATAGCTTTAGCAATAAAAGTATATTTATGTGGTTATTCAAAACATTGATAATAAGATGATTATTATTTTTCCGAATATATATCGTCATACTAGTTAGTAGAGTTATATAAGAGAGAACATTTTTAGTTTCAAATTCCGATTTGTATATTTATCTTTAATGACAATGGCAAGTACAAAGTTCTACCGAGACAATTAAATTGAGACTTCCATCGTTTTCATATGTTGATTGACTATTGGCATATGCACGATAATAACCAGCAGTATTTCGATTGTCCTTTTCGAGATAAAAACAATTACGACAGTTATTACATTCTATTGAAGTATTCGTATAATCTAAATAAAAAGAAATCGTTTTTCCAACAAGAAAACAGTTCATATGTTACTAGAGAGCTGAATCATTAGTTGAACAATTGTATCATGTTGATCGTTGATTCGTTCTTTGAGTTGTTGATTTTCATTAATGAGTTCACTCAATGTCGATCGAAGAGGTTCAAAAGTACATTTCGATTCATGATTTGCTAATTGGTCACGCGTGCCTTTCCATGGACATTTGATATCTGCTGCCGAACAAGAAACATGAACTTTCGGACAAGTTTTCTCGATATGTTCATGAAAATCACGTCTTCGTATGTTTGTAGTTTCACACAATGTACATTTAACCGGAAGATATTCAACGAAATTCTTTACCGAATGAGTTGCTTGTGCGAGACTATTAATTGATCCAATATGTTTTCGACAAATGGGACATGATGAATTTCCACCGAAAATCCACTTTGTAATACATCGACGACAAAATGAATGATGACATGGAGTACGCAATGGATCGATGAAAGGAGAACTACAAACAATGCAGATGAATTCAGGTTCTATTGATGTTTCATTGACATATTCATAATTGGTATTATTAGCCATTCAAGTTTCAAAATCTCAAAGGAAATTTTTATGAATCATAAGACAATCCATTACATTGGTGATTCCTCTGTTTTCATCGTTCGACATTTTTAAAAAAGATGTCGTTTCTAATGAGATTTCATTGTGGATTATTATTCGTCAAAAAACAAGAAGTCAGAGTTTGACTTTTTTTATTTTCTAAAGCCTAAAGTTCACGTGTACAAGTAAATAATGTTCAGTAACTTGTGAACTACGTATGTCAAATGCAAGATGGCCGGAAGAATCACTGTGAATAAGTACAAAGCGCACACAAATACAACTGCAAAAATTAGAAGAGCGGTTACAGCAGTGAAATTAATCTTATATGCAGAAACAGTTGTTGTCACCCATTAGTTTGTATAAAAAGAAACCAGTCTTAATCATATAATAAAGCAGGCCATGAACATCCACCGATAGTTTCCACGATATAGGTTACTATTTTAAAAAAAAAACAAGTTTTTCTCGGGGAAATAGTTTCCATCTACATCTTACATTATAGCCACTGGTTGAAAAACTGCTTGAGTGACTCTTGAATCAAAGAACGTAACGTTTAATAAATCAGTATGGGAAATGTTTGATTAAGAATGGAAAGGCAAAAACAATTCTATTTTCTTTTGTAGAATATTTCTTCTCATCATTAAAAAAGTCACTGGATGTGAATATCTTGAGTATTGATAGTTTTTCCGAGTTCTTACATGAAGTGTACAAAGGAATTTCCCGTCCTTTTGCAAATATCTATCAAAAAATCATTAAAGGTTTCTAAAACGAAATTCAGTTTCATTTTTTACTAACGTTACGTTTCTTCGATCAGTTCTCTGCATGAACATATTCCAAATAAATATAGATGTCCAATGGATTGATATCGGGATTATCTATTTATCTTGAATATTTGAGAATAATAAAGAATTGATGAAAATATGTCGATGTCAATGTTATATATTTCATTTCCACCTTTTTGTAGCTTTATTCTCACATATCTCACTCATATCGGGATTACCTGTAAGTTATGTATATACTTGTTCCATGTTACTGGTTTCGTAGTATGAATCCTTTTGTTCTCTCTACTTTAAAAGACATATTCCTTCATTAACAAATACTCATCAATCTGAAATTGTTATTATTTTCCTTTACATAATTGTGTAATAACATTAAAAACGTGAATAGAACAAGTAATGATGTCATAGCATTGAAATAATGACTGTGTATAATCGAAATCAGTTGCATTTGTCCCTTCAAACGAACGAACATTGTGAAAAAAATCTTTGAATATAAAAAAAATCAAGAATATATCACCTAGTATAGTCGTATATATGACAGTGCAGATATTTTACTCAAGCACCGTCAACATAAAAATGTGTATGTGCACTGCATACACTGACGTCAATCAGCTAAAAATAAAATGATAAAGCGATTTTTTTGTTTGTATTCATGCGGAACTATATTTATTCGTAGATCATTGTTCGCTTGCGTTTATATTTTATTCGCTTAAACGTCTGCGTGTATCGATATCCCTGCTGTATCTCGCAGTACCAATCGGATAATTATGATGCAATCATTACAGATAATTTACACTGTATTGTCAATACTTTTATATATTAACTTGATTAATAGTGCAGCGATCGGTAATGTGTTAGGAAGTGCGGTTGGAGGTCTAAGTGGTGGAGTAGTTGGAGCAGCAAGTGGCGCAGTGGTTGGCACTGTCGTTGGAGGAGTTGCTGGATCAGCTTTGGGTGACCCTCTAACTGGTGCTACCGGGGGACTTTCGGGTGGACTCGCCGGTGGATTTTCGGGAGGGACGTTTGGTGGTGCTACAGGATCACAAATCGGTATTGTTACTGGAGATCTTACCGGCACTATCCTTGGTCAACCGACGGGAACGGTTCTTGGTACGGTCGTTGGTGGGGCGACGGGAGGTGTTCTTGGTGCTGGAGTAGGATCGTTAACAGGCACTCTAACCGGTGCCCAAGTTTCTGCTTCTGCAGGTGTACCCGGCCTTGTGGCAGGAACAACCGGAGGATTAGTTGGAGGACTAGGAGGAGGAGCTGTTGGTGGTTTGGTAGGTGGTGCCGGAGGAAGTCTGACAGGTCAAATTACCAATGATCTTACTGGTGGACTTGTGCGACGTCGCCGGCAATATTTCATTCAAGAAGCGAATCATCTCAATAATCTTTCTTGATTCCTTATTTAAGCTTTGATTGTCAATAAATATCAAAAGATGAAACTACTTTATCTGATTTCTATAACATTGATAAAAATAGTATAGCCGCTGTATTGCGATAAATTGCAAGAAAAGATAGATAGCTAGTTAGTCTTTCATGATAATGTGTTTATGGAATTGTACACTGCAATCATATTGCCATCGAGTGATATGACCTAAAAAGAAAGTAAAATCCATAGAAATATTTCACAGTAGCCATCAGCACAAAGAGCAAACCAACCATTGCATAGTTGACTACTATATTGCTTATATGCAAATCTATGACAAAGCATTAGGAAAATACTATCAATACAAGATGGAACACTTCAGACATACCTTCCATTACATGAAGCTGGTTATGTACTAAACTGTGTTATAAAAATGTTTTCACACTGCATTTCAGCGAGCATGGATTACTGAATGACAGCATGCTTTGTACAGCTTGTTACGAAGATTCAAGTAAACATATCATAGAAGATCTAAATCCGATTCTCATTGTAATTAATTCTCGAATTTCCACGAATCAATAAATACTCGAGTGATCGTTCTAATACAAATTTTCGCGCTGATTCGATACAATTATACAATCTTGGATGCCATTGGATTTGACTTTGTTTCAAACGTACATCCACACTCATTCGTTGTGTCCCCTCACGTTTATACCACTTTCTCGTGAAACAACACTATTTCAAACGATGAAAACGCAAAGAGTTAAAGTAAACGTCTGAAAGAATTGTCAACTGTTGAAACTTATTTTGAGAAAATGTAGAATGCGCGAGCTGTTTCCTAAACAATCCGAAGTATTCGGTTTATACACATAACTATTCATATCAGAGCTGTACGGTGGGAACCAATCGGATCCGTTAAAATTTCTGTGAATTCCTGAAGAGGGACTCAGAAATCGTAGCTGAATCCGAAACACGGATCCGGCTACAGTATCCTGACGACGTTTTCATATTTTATTCACGAGCTTCCATATACGGGTCGTATCCAATGTTTTCCTGTTCCGTCGAGAACATCCGAAGTCCGACGTGTCAGATCTTGCACGTTTTTCATATGTGATATTTGCATTCTCAATCCAAGCTTATTAGTTGATCTGTATTTTTTTAAATAGTCAAACTAGAATAAAAGGATTTCTATTCCGTGTGAGAAGTTTTCGATGCTTTTTTGACAGTTCACTGATTTCGGTACGCATTCAGTGGTACAAAGCTGCATTTTTTGCATTAATTCCAAACTAGTATAAAACATTAAACACTAAACCAAAGTCCATAGCTTGTCACGAGTAAACGTTCTTCAGTGCAATGCCAACACGATCCAGTGATCATCATTTTCCAACGCTTGAAGTTCGAATTTACTAAAAGCCTCTTAAATGTCTCGAAAAAAGCCGAAATGATTAAGACAAGGCATTCACAATCATTGCAAGCTGTGGAAAATCGCTCCGAATCACAAAAGAACCTATAAAGAGTTATTTTTACATCACGGAAATTCACATAATATTTATGTGAATTCGATTATAAATCGTACTCAGCTCATAAAGCAACAAATGAAATTCAGTCTAAATCCACCCTGTTAGGTAGAAACCCATGAATTGAATAGAAATGCCAGAAATTAGATTTAGATTTCGAATATGTCGAAGGATCATTTACTGTTTCGTTCTGCAGCACCACGTAGTATAGATAGGGGTGTTTTACTGAGCATTCAGTTGTATTTCCTTGAGATGAGTTTTTGGTGATTTCTACAGTGAATCCAGAGAAATCTAATCGAAATGCACTGATAATCTAGTTGCAATGCATGGAAATATCCGTTCGCATCTGATGGACTGAACAGTATTTGAGCATGTTAAATGCAGCTGAGAGCTGGAAAGTCCGTGTAATGATATTTAAGATACAGTTGAAATTTATTCTAGATACTTTTCGTTCATTCTGTCAGAGGAAGAGACGTTGAATTCATTGTTTTGGGTTATGAAACCAGATCGGTAGATAGAATTTGATGGTGTACACAGAATCTCCTAGAGAAATTTATTAACATTACATTTGATTTCTGGTTATGGGATACCGCGTGGTTCTGAGTATTTCCTGGTGGGATACTGATCGGTCCCGATTTTTACGACGACTGGATTGCCAAGTCTTTGAACGGTTCTGGTACAGATAGATTCCAGTGCGACGATGTGGGAAAATACCACGGGTCTGGCGGGATCCATCTACCAAAATCATTGGCCTGGGTAGTTAAAATATAAATCAATGCGTAGTCGTAGCTGAAGATCATGGCAGAAAAATATCTAACTCACTTCAGCGACAATTGTCAAGGAAATTTTCGCAATACCTGGATTTATCTCACACGATATACCAATGCCAAACAAGGAGCAATCGACAAACTTCAATGATTTTTTTTCTTAGCTCATACAGGAAGGAAACAGAATGCGACGAACGCACATTCCTCTATAGCGGAAATTTGTTTCCGAGTAGAAAATTTTGAAAGAACATATTTAAATGCGGCCATTCTTTGTAGAGAAATGCTTTATGTTAAAAAAATTCTCTTTTATTACGTATGCAGACGTTTATTTGTGCACAAAACGTTATGGCACTATTTACATTGTTGCATGGAAAAGAAACAGAAAAAAATTGCTTCAACGTTTCCGGTACATTAATAGTTTTTTTCCTTTTTTAACAGCATCGGTCGCATTTCATGAGTTCGCTGTGTAGTATAATCAAAATTTTCTCCAATCAACTTTGATGTCTCTTTTACTTCACACGCAGCCGTACTATACATCGAAGATGATCAATATCTGACGATTACTCTGATTCTCTCATTCAGCCTTCTGGTTGTAAGAAATACATTTCTGAATTCTTAAAGAGCTCGCTATTAACAGCAGACTGCTGAGATTTTTCTGAAAAATTTTAAGAGTTCTAAAGTATTATTACTACACTATTGTTTTTGTGCCCTTATCAGTGTCAAGATTTTAGAACCTTCTTTAAATTTGAAAGAATTTCCTCGCCTACGATGTGAAATATAAATATACTATTATTATAAGTCTAGTTGTTGATTGATAAAATTCAAGGACATCTAAAGAATAGTATTTATATATCTTTCGAAGGATAGATTTACACATACATACTAAATTTTTGACTTTTTGCGATGCGATTAAGACCCTAAGATGAACACTTTCGTGTGCCGTAGCTTATCGCGGTTTTGATCGAAAAAACTTTCTGCGGGACGTCTGACAGTGAATTTTTAATTTTACTCCGTAGGATCGTAGATGTGTAGGTAAAACTTTCGAAAAATATACACTTACAAAATCTGGGTTAAATATATATATCGTATGGTATATCAGTCAATACAGCTAAACGAGATTCGTTGAATAATATATATATATATATATAACTATTTACATACAACTATTCACGCATATTGAAAGCTGAATCTGCCATGGATAATCATAGATACTCGATTATAATATGCCTTAGTACATTCTTGCACTAGTTTTTACTAGTAGTTCTGATATTAATAAAGAATTTGTTTTGAAAATAAGCGATCTATTTTGAATTCGGTTAGATTTTCACATTTATATGGAGTATATCTCTGTATGTAAGCTAATATAATCATATTTTTGGATAGAGCTCACCGAGATCTACCTAGCACACCTTCTCAGGTAAATCTTATTTAGAAAAGGTCGAATTCGTGGTCCACTTCATCTACAGAATAAATGTCTATGATATTTTCATATAAAAAAAGCAGCTCATTCATACTGAGTCGGTCTTTAATCGAAATTATCAAAACTCTTCGTAACTGCGNTATTTCATTTTTTCGTTCCATTTACAATTAATTTTTTCTCAACAGTAATCATTATAATTACAATAGCTCGAAATCGTTCAACTGTTCAACAAAGATTAACATATGTGGAACATTTAAAATTACAATTCAATGAGCATAAACATCACTTTATTGCATCATTTACTTTAGTATTATTGGGATTGCCTCGTCTTGTCATCTCATTCATAAGCGGATGTATGAAATCACCAAAGAATTCATGGTTATTTCTAACTGGATATTTTCTTTCATTTTTACCATCGATGATGACTTTTGTTGTTTATGTTTTACCATCAAAAACTTACAAAGATGAATTTGATAATCTTGTTCGAAAACAATTTCGACGCTTTCGTAATTAAACTCCGACTAATTATGATTACGGAAGGGAGTCTTTGTTCAGCTTTAACGAATTAAAGAGAATATGAAAACTGCGAGAGGAGCATGGTTAGGTTTTTACTCTTTCAGATATATATAGTAACATAATAAATAACGGATACGTTGACTCATAAATTTGAATGTTAATTTTACTAGTTCTCTACATACAGAACAATTGCAAAACGGGGTATATCTAGAGATGTGCCAATTCAAAATTCTTCTGGATAAATTTTTATTTCGAAGCTAAATTAGTATGGACAAGCGACTTTTAAGGACATACAGTCTTTCCTCGATGATCATATGTATAGTTTTTAGTATTTATGTTGTTTTCATAAAATCTTGGTCATTCTCTGATTGATAATAGAAATAATCGAAATCTAACCGCGATTATGTACATTGTTCAATAAGGTTCTCTAATATATACATTTAGAAGTATTTATATTATTCATCAGATAGTATCGATAGAAGATATGTTTTAATTTTAATTCCTAAAGATATCATTTTTCGTAATAAGCAAGGATAACAAGCATCACTCGAATATCTATAATTGATCTGATGGCTATTTTCGAGGTTATATGTTTACATGTCGTTTTTTGTTCCTACATCATTCGATGTTCTTACCCACGTCTTTCTATACATCCTATCTTTTCTCTTCGATATTAAACATAAAGAAACATTTGTTTAACTAGCAAATTTATAAACGATTAAAATATGATAACATGATATTATCATTTACGTTCATCGGTCCCTGTCTTTCTACTATAACATTGTACACATGAATAATTTTATGTATTGTAAACATTAAGATTAAAAAGAAAAAGACTTATCATGGTTCATATGAACAATAAACTTAATGCTAAATCAATGCAATCGTAATAATTCTTGCTTTTTTTTCTTCAATTAACATGTACAAATTTGTATATTTCTATTCTACGGAACAGGAAGTACATCATTAGTAATTATTTTATCTGTCGTTTGTCTTGGACTTATTTTATTCGCAATTGCAATAGTTATTGTCTATGTGACAAAAAATATGCTTTTCCTTGAAAAATTCTATTTCATTCAGCTACTGCTCTTGATGGTGCCGTTTATAATACTCGCAATATTCGTGGGTCTGCAGGCGTTACCTGTCGTAGTTCCAATGGCGATGTTTTGACTTTAATGGGTTCGTTTTATGTTGCTATTAATGGTGTTTGCATTACTCCCTATAGTTGTTATCAGTCAAGTTCTGGTTGATGACGATTACTATGCATCGATAATTTTATATAGACCTGTTCCTTGCTCTATTTCGATTTTCATAAGTTTTATTTTTTAGTTACTATGAATATATCTGAAAGACTGATATGTTAATGCTGATTTAAAGAAAAGAAGGAAGATGGAGAACTCAATTAAAGTTCTTTTGGGAAGATGCATTGTAAGAACGGAAAAGGTTTTTTCGTTTATATAAAATGACTTTTATAGAGTTCTGATGTATGGATATTTGTTCACAATGTGATTTAACTAGAAATTTGTCACGATTTTACAGTCTTTATTTATATCGTTGAAAAATTATGAAAAGTCAGTTGTATAGGAGAAAAGCAATAGAATAATAATTCATAACAAATGATAATTCTTTATTAGAACGTTTAATCAAGTTAATTTCTCAATGAATAGAGTTACATAAGAGAGAACTTTTTGACTTTCAAATTCCGATTTGTATATTTATTTTTAATGACAATGGCAAGTACAAAGTTCTACCGAGACACTTAAATTGAGACTTCCATCGTTTCCATATGTTGATTGATTATCGGCATATGCACGATAATAACCAGCAGTATTTCGATTGTCCTTTTCGAGATAAAAACAATTACGACAGTTACTACATTCGATTGAAGTATTCGTATAATCTAAATAAAAAGAAATCGTTTTTCCAACAAGACAACAGAGTTCATATGTTACTAGAGAGCTGAATCATTAGTTGAACAATTGTGTCATGTTGATCGTTGATTCGTTCTTTGAGTTGTTGATTTTCATTAATGATTTCAGTCAATGTCGATCGAAGAGGTTCAAAAGTACATTTCGATTCATGGTTTGCTAATTGGTCACGCGTGCCTTTCCATGGACATTTGATATCTGCTGCCGAACAAGAAACATGAACTTTCGGACAAGTTTTCTCGATATGTTCATGAAAATCACGTCTTCGTATGTTTGTAGTTTCACACAACGTACATTTAACCGGAAGATGTTCAACGAAATTCTTTACCGAATGAGTTGCTTGTGTGAGACTATTAATTGATCCAATATGTTTTCGACAAATGGGACATGATGAATTTCCGCCGAAAATCCACTTTGTAATACATCGACGACAAAATGAATGACGACATGGAGTACGCAATGGATCGATGAAAGGAGAACTACAAACAATGCAGATGAATTCAGGTTCTATTGATGTTTCATTGACATATTCATAATTGGTATTATTAGCCATTCAAGTTTCAGAATCTCAAAGGAAATTTTTATCAATCATAAGACAATCCATTACATTGGTAATTCCTCTGTTTTCATCGTTCGACATTTTCAAAAAAGATGTCGTTTCTAATGAGATTTCATTGTGGAGTATTATTCGTCGAAAAACAAGATGTCAGAGGTCGACTTTTTTTATTTTCTAAAGCGTAAAGTGCACGTGTACAAGTAAATAATGTTCAGTAACTTGTGAACTACATATGTCAAATGCAAGATGCCCGGAAGAATCACTGTCAATGAGTACAAAGCGCACACAAATACAACTGCAAAAATTAGAAGAGCGGTTACAGCAGTGAAATTAATCTTATATGCAGCAAAAGTTGTTGTCACTCATTAGTTTGTATAAAAAGGAACCAGGTTTACTCATATAATAAAGCAGGCCAAGAACACCCATTGATAGTATCCATGATACAGAATAGTTTGCGTCAAATCTATAAAAAAAAAACTTTTTGAATAAGTCTGCCATATCTCGCATCATATGAAATAACGAGAACAAAAATGAACTCTCTGTTTAGG